TTATTATAGAGCAAACCATCGCGATTTACGCCAACTTTATTTGCCTGGGGTCATACCGTGAATAGTTGCACACTGACAGGTAAACTATGACACAGACAGCGGGTTCTTACAATCATAACACCATGGCGAGTGAAACATGGCACACCTCGAGACTTGTATGCGTGTTTCTTCACATTCTCACTAGTAAGTTTTTATTTAGATCTGTCTGGTAACATATCATTTGAAGCGTCGTCACAACAAGGTACACTTCCACGTATTCGCTCGCCTATATTGGTCCAATATCAATTAGTATTGCGCACGTCGTTCGGCAGACGGAAGAACAATTGATTATGTTGCTCGGTTTTAATCGCTATAGCCTAACACAGTATACTGATTGAATCCAGGTGTAGGTAAAGGCCCTGCTCCTATTACACGGTTACGAGGCACCGTCGACTGAAATCAACAGCGAGTGAAGCTGCGGGGCTGGAGCGTCGTACCTAGCCGCGAGTTTACTCCTATTGGCGATTGACAACACGCGCTAGTTATAAATCAGCGCATCTTGCTTAACCCCCATACACCTGAGTGAGGTTCGATACAAGTAGGGTTAACTGATTATTTATTTTTGTTTGAAAGCAAGATAACATTCCAGGGTCTTGAAAGACCAAGCTGTTTGTTCTCAATAACATGCTAAGTGTTATGCGAAGCGTGCTTATATGATACTCAAACACGGTCGCCCCCACGAAAATAAAGCTGAAACCCTATGTGTTAGCAAAATTTGCCCCCCAAAATGCGGGAAATACTAGTAGCAAAATTTTGCGCCGCCGCCTCTGAAACACTATTTAAAAACATAGAACTCCGAAATGCCGAATTCTAAAATGATAAATCTATTAATAAACGTAGCCTACCAAGTAATTGAAAATCACCATGTATTTTTGGTCGAGGACGGTTAATATATTTTCATTACGTCATGTGGGAAGGTAGGGGATTTCTGGGCTCGCGATTCTTACAGACGTAAAACAATGACGGCACCGAAAGGGAAACTACAATCCTTTTTTATATGAGGTGAACACGTTAACGACTATACCACCGCAGTTGTTCCACATACAGTGTACAATGTATTTCCCCAAGCATGAATAACTGATGTTCGTTCTGTAAGTTTAAGTACTACCACAGTAATTGAGGTGATGGAATCATCAGTCGGTTCATCCAGCATTGACAAGTGTATATCAGCATTTCTTTAACTATATGACGTCAACGTGACGGCAGGATCTATTCACTAAATTTAACGTGTTCGTTCGTTGTCACGTGGACATGAACTTCAGTTTAAATATCCATAACTTTAAAGACTACTGTGCCGATGAATAACACGAGCCATTAATCTGAACAGACCTGTGTACATTTCCACGTGGCAATGATGCATATCGACCTATTATCCATATATACGCCAAGTTTGTAATTGATGATAATTTATGAAGTAATACACCACAAGAATGTGTAGCTTTGCAGAAATAAACCAACAACCTATAAGCGCGCACGAGTTCTTACTTCCTAAGCATTCTTCAATTTTTCTTTATGATTTCTATTTTTGAAGAGAAGCATAAAATAAACCCAGTTGTGCGTGTCCAAGCAGGACCAATCGAAACAACGCACTTCTTACAACTATATCTGTTATAAATTTGAATGCAGGGCCAGAAACAGGGACTATCACAAAAGACGCACAAATTCGTAAAACCATATTTTGGTATCCAATTTTCTATTACTCTTATTATTATTAATACAGGCATTGCAACCCAGCCCCTGAAATCACCAAGTCTAATATGGACAGAGTACTATGACGATGAACAGAGCTCATCTATTCGATTTGTGGAAGGTGGACCGCAAAGTATTCACCCTACTTCTTTACTTGCCAATGATACTACGATACTGTTCAGCGAGGAACGCTCTCAAAAAGTTGGGCTGAACTTTGACGTTGAGCTATCACTGATATTTTGGGTGGATGCTCTGCGCGGTGAAGTTTCGAAGATGAATATCAGCATAGAGGGCGCGGTAACTGAAACAATATACAAAGATACTTCGAGTATTCTCAAAGACGTATCCGTAGATTGGGCGTCTAGAAACATATACTGGACAGATAGTGGTAATCGCTGGATCGCCATCAGTGATTATAATGGGAATTACTATAATCCAATTATAACCGATATTAGAAACCCTAATTGCATTGTGGTAAATCCTGTAGCGAGGTAAGTTTAAATGGCGGTGGTCGTCGGGTAGCGTGTGTTCGAATTTTATGCAAACAAATACGCGTATATTTTACACGTAATGTGTACGTCGCTACTAGTGCCATATTAAACAGGACGCGGCCCTTTAACATGATAACATACAGTTTGTGAAATTACTTCCTGTAACAACTTCGGGTGTAATTTTTCACACAGAGAGTATTATTCCTGTACCGTCCATTCGGATCATTTTTTGACATGCATTGGCCGTATTTCCGCCAACTTGGTATCAAGACAATACATTATTTCAATATATCTGCTCTGTAATACAGTTCAATAGAGGTTCTCATACAATTTATCGTAGGAATACACAAGCTCCTAATTATGTTTTGTGACCTCATTAAATATGTCTGGCTGTTGACAAATTGGTATTACACGCTTTAGTTCTTTTACGTTGATTGTGACAATTTCAGTTGTCCCTGTCAATGTATCAAATTAATGACAGGGACTATGTCATTGACAATGACTTGTCGCCAATGTGTTGACCGAGAAGCTGAATTGTTCGTGTAACGAAAACAACGTTCAAATTTAGTAACTCGAATTTTAATTATCAGTTAACCAAAATTACTGGAAATATACAACGTTAAACAAAACAAAAAATCTATGTTACCCGTAACTCGAAGTTCGCTTAACTGTTAATTAAAGTTTGAGTTACTATTTGTGGACGTTCAACAAAAACAAAAATATATATTGCCCGTAACTTGAAGTTCTGTTAACGTTAGTTTAACATCGAGTTACAATTTGGGCGTGTTTTCTAAAATATGGACGTGGTCATTTTTGAAACTCGATGCTCGTAGCTCCATGTCCGTAACTCGAACAATTCATCATCTCGAGTTGACCATGTGATGTTTCTTTTTGCTTTGTGTTTAATAGTTTAAATAGTTCGAAAGTAGCATTGTAGCTAATCATTTCAAGATTTAATTATTTGCTGAGGTTCCACATTTGTCGGCGTATTTGAATAATCGAATACTGTGATTCAATATTTGAATTTAAATAGTTCTCAAAATTTCGAAGGCTTTATAGTAGAAGCCTACTCATTAATGCATATACCCATAATTTATTCATTTACCAATAAATTGTACTTCCAGACAATATAAGAATATTGACTTAAAATTAATTTTCGAGAAACTGATGGTTGTATTTTAGTGGATAGTGGTTATTTTGGCAGTATTACGGTGCATTTACCATTTACCACCAGCGTGTGTTCGAAATTCATTTAAACAAACATTGTATTTCTCATGTGTTGTATATGTCTCCACGAGTCTCATATCGAACAGGACGCTGCGCGACGACCAACGCCCTTTAAGTACAATATCTTAAATCAAATCTCGTGTTATTTTTAGGTACATTTACTGGAGTAACATTGGTGACATGCCCATAATAGAACGAGCAAAACTTAACGGAAAAGACAGAGAAACGATAGTAGACGGCGAAAAGAAACACATAAAGGAGATACGTGGTCTAACAATAGACTACAATAACAACAAGTAAGTCTAAGCATGTACTATCATTAGGTGAGTGATATTTGTAGCATCAGGAATACTGGTCACATCACGAGTACATGTAACTTCACAAGTATTGGTGACATCACGAGTACGTGTAACTTCACAAGTATTGGTGACATCACGAGTAGGTGTAACTTCACAACATCACAAATATTGGTGACATCACGAG